CACTATTTGATGCCAGGCACAGTGGCTCATGCCTGTAACCCCAGCACTTTGGGAGGCCGAGGAGGGCAGATCATGATGTCAAGAGATCAAGACCATCCTGGCCAACGTGGTGAAATCCCATATCTACTAAAAATACAAAACATTAGCTGGGAGTTGGTGGTACATGCCTGTAATCCCAGCTACTCAGGATGCTGAGGCAGGAGAATCACTTGAACCCAGGAGATGGAGGTTGCAGTGAGCTAAGATTGTGGTTATTGAACACTCCAGCCTGGCAACAGTGTGAGACTATCAAAAAAAAAAAAAAGGAAAAAAAGAAAGAAAGAAAAAAGAAATCACTATTTGAAACTTCACTCCCTTATATCAGAACATGTATGTTCATGTTCTTATTTTGGAGGTGCTAAAAACAAAGACTAGTTAGGCACATGAGAGTTATGTGCTGGCCTTCTGCACATTTTCCCCTTACTGCTATTCAAATCATTGTGAGTCTTACCAGAGCCATGTTTCCATAGCACAGCTAGCTCTCTGCAGGTCAGGAAACATGCAAGTCTTAGCCTCCCAAATGGATGATTTATTCCAGAATTTGTATAATAGGGGTAATATTTTGATATGGGTTGGCTGCGTTCCCACCCAAATCTCATTTTGAATTCCCACGTGTTGTGGGAGGGGCCCTGTGGGAGGTAATTGAATCATGGGGGCAAGTCTTTCCATGCTGTTCTCATGACAGTGAATAAGTCTCACAAGATCTGATGGTTTTAAAGAGAGGAGTTCCCCTGCACAAGCTCCCTCTTTGCCTGCTGCCATCCATGTAAGATGTGACTTGCTCCTCCTTGCCTTCTGCCATGATTGTGAAGCCTTCCCAGCCATGCGGAACTGTGCATCCATTAAACCTTTTTCCTTTATAAATGACCTAGTCTCGAGTGTGTCTTTATTAGCAGCATGAAAACGAACTAATACAGTAATTTCTAGTTTGAGTTGTTTCAGAGTTTGTGTATTAAGAGAGCCAGGCCTGGTGGGTCAACACATAGAGTTTCTTTGGTAGTATAGAAGGGGTTCCTCTTCTTTAATCAGGCTGGTGCCCAGGAAGAAGAGGATTTGGTATAGGGGAAGTCTTTGCCAATGAGAAAAGAACCTGAAGCTCATCCCTTCCAACATGGAGAAGGGTGGAGAGGAGAAGGATGGAGGGGAAGCAAGGCGATCAAATGCCAGTCTTTGTGCCCTTCCAGTCACATGCCCCTAAACTGGCAATGCTGAAGAAAGATTCACAGAGATTGGAGAACTTAAAAAGATGAAGGGGGTGGACCATTCCCCCGGGTGTAGTCAGAGGGGTGATCTAGTTCTGAAGGCATAGCCCAGCCTCTGGCTCAGAGACAGGCCACTGTAGACTAGAAAGGAGGGTACAGCTTTGGCTGTGAGTGAGGTCTGATATATAAGCCTGGGGAGATGCCCTGGGCTCCCATGGCCTGTCTGTGCTGTGTGTGCTGTTCAGTGGATCAGAAGCTCAGGAAGTATAGAGGACACACCAAGGCATGGCATGAGGATAAAGGCCCAGAGTGTGCATGGCTTGAACCCTGGACTCCAAGAAGGTAAACATGACCCCCTCCAATAGACCAGACAGTGTGGCTGCCCATTCTGTGAAGAAGTCCCCTTATTTTCTCAGCACAAGGCCTCAGGAGCCCCCAGACAGTTAGACACCATCTCTAAGAGAAGCAGAGGTAGCGGGAAGAAATCTGAGAGACGAAGATTGTATCAGAAAGGGACTGAGCTATTCAGAAGAGACCATCAAGCTGTCAGAGACCACAATACTATTGATTGGAAAGTTTAAGGTTTATCCTTCTCCCTCTCCCCTACTTCCAGCCCTTTGTTAGCCAGAGGGATGGAGGATGCTGAAGAAGATTAGATCAGTTGTAGAGAAAGAAATCAAGCTGCATTTTCTTGCCAATTCCCTTTGAATATTCCCCTTTAAAAGCATACTCCATGGTGCAAATGCCAGATGTGAAGTTGTGTCAATCCTGAGATTATATTATTAGGATTTAAGTAACGTTAGTGTTTTTCAGTCATTCAGGAGGACTGGAGCCAAGATATCAGGTGTGCCCACATTCCAGTCCTAGCACTCAGAGGTATGCTCCCAGGAGGACACAAGAAGGTAAAACCACTAGATAAAATCCCAAATAGATGCTCTCCATATCTAGTTACAGGATGTTGGTTGTTATGGTGGTTGCAAAGAGATTAAACTGGAAGAAAACTGCAAGAGAATTTACATACAAAACTCTTTCAAAATGTATTCCTTTTGAAATATTGGTCTTGAATCAACATGTTACTTCCTTCCATGATAGTGGTGGTAACTCTGAAGTCCACAAAATCATGAAAACCTCTATTTTTACAACATTTTCCAAGAATTCCAGTTAACCATAACTCCAGTCAGCCTGGAGGCCAATGGGGGACCCTGGTAATGATGACACTTTTTTTTCTTTTTGGAGATGAAGTTTCACTCTTGTTGCCCAGGCTGGATTGCTATGGCATGATCTTGGCTCACTGCAACCTCTCCCTGCCGGGTTCAAGCGATTCTCCTGCCTCAGCCTCCTGAGTAGCTGGGATTACAGGTGCCCATCACCATGCCTGGCTAATTTTTTATATTTTTGGTAGAGATGGGGTTTCATCATGTTGGCCAGGCTGGTCTCAAACTCCAGACCTCAGGTGATCCACCTGCCTCAGCCTCCCAAAGTGCTGTAATTACAGGCGTGAGCCACCGTGCCTGGCCATGATGACACTTTTAATATTCAGTTCATACTTCCAAAGCTGCACTCATTCTTTTTGGGTCAAAGTAGGTGCCAATGGTTGCCTGCACTTGACAATTATTTACTGTGATTATAAGTGGACAGGTGTTTTGACCATCAGCAATACCTGGCAGGTCAGGGGGAAGCTTTATTAGTATCTTGTCTCACATAATCCTCACACTGACTCTGGGATATGTGTTCCATTATCCTTATTTCACAGTTTAGAAAACTGAAGTTTAAACTCACTTATGTATGTTGGAGGCTGGATATGAACCCAAATGTATTAGTTATCTGTTGCCCAAAACTTAGCAGCTTATGACAACAAACATGTTATCTTGTAGTTTCTGTGGGCCAAGAACTCACGGCTTAGCTTGGTTGTGGCTGAGGGCCTTTCATGAGGTTTCAATCAAGAGGTTGATTGGTTGGTTGGTTGGGGCTGCAATCATTTGAAGGCTTGACTGAGGCTATAGGATCTGCTTCCCAGATGGTTCACTCACATGCCTATCAGCTGCAAGCCTCCATTCTCCACTGGCTGTTGGAAGGAGGGCTCCAGTTCTTCACCACGGGGTTGCTTGAGTGTTCTTGTGACATGGCAGCTGGCTTCCTCTAGAGTGAGAGGTAACAACAAAGAGGCTATAATGTCACTTATGACCTTTTTTTGAAAGTTACACACCATCAGTTCTTCCATCTTGTATTCATTCATTCATTCATTCATTCATATGTATACAGCCCACATTCAAGGGGAAGGGATTTAGGCTGCCTTTTTAAGGGAGAAGTGTTGAAAAAAATACGTGGACCTATTTTAAAACCACCACACATATTGTCTGACTCCAGAATCTGAATTCTGTTCAAAGATGCTGTGCTTTTACTCACAGGTAGATATGCAAACTGTCCACTAACTTTTCCTACACACATCATCCCTCTACATCCCACTCCTCAAGATGTCTTTCTTCCCCACTGGGGTTGATGAGGCTCTGTGAAGACTGAGTCCCATTACCTTATCCTCATTAGCATCACCCTTTATCGCTCTGGGTGCTAATGCTATGCCTTCGGTTTTACCAAAGATCACAGAAGCGTGAAATCTGCTTTTGCATGTATTGTCAAACTGTCATAAACCTTAGCTTTATTCGTACCACGGTGATCTAGTGATCCGATCATACTTTTCACATCTATAGCAGAAATGTCACAGGAGCTCACTTTGTTCTCTCTGACCTTATGATGTTTCAAATAAAGGTACAGAGCCTACAAGAAACCTCTGAAATATCTCCTGAATCCTTCTGCCCACACTTCCATCCTTCATTCTGCCCACTGATCCCACAGTTCTTTCTAAAACCCAGATATAATCATGTCACATTTTGCTCCAAATCTTTTAATAACTCCCAATTTCCATAAAATGATTTCAACTCTGACTTTGAGACCCTCCACCACCAAGCCCCTGCCTGCTTCTCCCTTCTCATCTCATCACTCTCCAGGCAAACTGGACTATTTGCTATTCTGAGAATGTGTCTTGTTCTTTTAAACCTCTACCATTTTGCATGTTCTGTTCATTCTTTCTGGAATGAGCGTCTCTCCTTTGAACAGTTGTCAAATTCCTTCAAAGTCCAGTTCAAACACTGCCTTCTCATGAAATTCTTACATACCACTCACACCTTTCTCTGCATGTTAGCCAAGAAAAGATATGCAGATGAAGGTGTCTGCTTGAATCATGGCAGCTACCTGCTGGCTTAACTGGGTTAACACTGATTAAAATCATAGGACAGCTAAATTTAATTTTTGACATTTGATAAATGCCAAACATCAATGGATTTTTCATTAACATACTGAATAGCAGTGTCTTCAAGTCACTGTTATTAAGACACTTTCCTAATTTCTTTGAGGTGGTTAATCTTCTGTGCAGACGTCAGAAGGGATTGCATTTCCTGACTCTCTTGGTTCTTGTGATGTCAGTTGTGTAAAATGCTTTGAAAAGAAGTGATTACCATGGACCATAACGTCCATTTCACCTTTATTGAGATATACATAAATGAGATTGTGCAGGTGTCGTAGGCAGGGGTAAGTCACTCTCCTCCCCTGCACCCTTCTCTTCTGAGCAGATCCAAAGGGAGGTGTTTGGCTTGGATATTGGACCCTATTCCATGATCATATTTACATTACTTCTGAGTTTCCAAAGAGATGTATGTTGAAATCGTCAGGTCTTGTTTTTTTTTTCTTTTTTTTTTTTTGCAGCAATAAAGGGTAGTCTTATTGAAGTCAACTCAATCCCAGTGGGCCTTATATTTATGACATTCCAGACTGAAGATAACATGTGGAAAGCAGCCACAAAGTAAAAAGAAACAAAGAATTCTGAATGTGAAAAACCGCCCTGTTGCTGATTCTGGTTGCCTCTCCTTGCCACAGTCCTTCCTGGACTGGAGCTCAGCCAGCAGATGCACATTATATTGGATGCTTCCTCTAAAGAGTCAGGAGGAGTAAGTGGGAATACGGGCTGCACTCAGAAAGTGAGTATTCACACACTGAAAGAAAAGCAATCATGGCATCGGCAGCCCTGTTCAGAGCAAGCCAAGCGGGGACGGCACAAACCCGAGGGTGGCTTGGGGTTATGTTAACAGATGGTGGAGCGAAGGCAGAATGCTTCACCTCCCATTTGGCTCCTGTCACCCTACTGAGAAGACTAATCTTCTCCTGCAAAAGGATAGTGCAATCACTTTATTCAGAGGAAATTGCAGAACAGGATGTGAGAGGACTTTGGACAAGAGCCTGATCTCTGGGTGTTTTGCTGAAGGAAAGGAAATTTAAAGTCCTGCAGGTAGCAAAGGGTTAGTCCAGTTTTTGTCCAAGAGCAGGAAGTTAGAAGACAGAGTGCTTATTGTTGTTACCATGTTCATTCATCCATTCTGTATATCACCACCCCCTCAATTTTTTTTGTCTGTATGATCCCAGGCTGTTGTACTGGGGAGACTGACCTGGATTCAAATATCTGCTGCAATGTATTAATATCTGTAGACAAGTCACAGCACCTCTCTGTTATGGTCCAAGACCTTTGGATTTCAAGGAACTGAGACTCAGTCAAGATGACTTGAAGAGGAATGAGTCAGTCAAGGAAACAGAATCCACAGTAGGTATTTCATTCTTTTCCTTTTTTTTCTATCTTTGCTACTTGCATCAGAACAGTAGATATTTCAAACAGAGGGGATTTAATATAGGAAATTGGTTGCATGCCTATGGAAAAATTGAAAAAAGGAAAAAGGGAGATTCTAAGGTAGCCTGGAGATCAGTAACTGGAGGAGCAGTGACCTCCCCAGGGTCTACAGAAACAGATGGGAGGAAGTGGTGTTGCCAGAAGCTAGAAGCTTAGAGAAGGGTTGCTGAGAGGGTAGATTTACATCTGGCAGCTCCTCTGCTTGCCATCAATTCAAGTCTTGGCATTTCAGTTACATTTGTGAGCAGAGGTAATTTCAGATAGTATGACAAATAGAGTGACGGGTATAGGGCTCTGAGGGTTGAGGCAAGGCCAGGGGGTGGGAGGCTTTTGTGGCAGAGCTTGGAGAGGACTGCTGAATTTGGATCATTCATGAGTTGACAATAAACTCAAGAAAAGCAAGAGCAGGGCAGGATGAGAATTAGAAGACCATTACAATAATCCAAATGTACAGTTCTTGTATTGCCACATAATAAATCATCACACATTTAGCAGCATAAAGCAACATATGTTTATGATCTCACAGTCTCCATGGCTGAGGAGTCTGGGCATGGCCCAACTGTGGCCTATGCTTTGGGTCTCACAACACTTTGGTCAAGGTGTCAGCTGGGGTTAGGGTATCGTCTGACGTGGGGGACCTCTATCAGCCACAGATCCCATCCACACTCACACGGAGTGGGAGTGTGCACGCTGGGGGTAGGAATCTGAGAAGCCATGTTAGAAGTCTGCCTATCACACCAGGCAAGAGATGATTCTGGCTTGAACTCAAAGTGTAGGCATGGAGATGTGAGAAGTGGTTGCATTCAATATATAATTGTAAAGTCCTGGCTCAGAAAGGGAGGGGACTCCAATGCTAATAGTTTATGTGGGGTGGAGGGGACTTTCAATGAAGAGAGGTCCTTCTGGCAGGGAAGCAGCCTGCCCAAGAGTTGCATCACATCACTTAGGACCTGAGTGCTTCAGATAAGAGGTCCCCAGCCAGAGACATGGGGCTCCAAAGAATGCACAAAAGCACCTGCAGATGAAAGTCAGCTCTAATTAACTGCCAGACTCAGATGGAGGCAAGCCACTCAGCTCAACAAAAGCTGTTCTACTCCTTACTTGTTCCCCCACCACAATTTTAACTCTAGCAGGGTCCAAAGCAGCAGCTAGCAAGTAGGGGGAGGAGCAGAATAGAGCAGAGAGAAAGAGTGTTTCCCTTCCTCAAAAACAGGGGCCCCAGACACAAGTCTAGGTGTGCAGGGAAGGGAGAAGCCTTTGAGTAGAGATTGAAGCACTAATTAATAATTTGGGCTGGACACATTCATATGATTGAATCTAATAGTGTTTTATGCTTGAAAGTGACCATAGGATGAATGCACAGAAAAGTTTAGTCCAAGTTTCCATCCAGGTAAGTGAGGATGACCACTACTGAATACATTTTTTTTTTTTTTTTTTTTTTTTGATATGGAGTTTCGCTCTTGTGGCCCAGGCTGGAGTTCAATGACATGATCTTGGTTCACTGCAACCTCCCTGTCCTGGGTTGAAGTGATTCTCCTGCCTTAGCCTCCAGAGTAGCTGGAATTACAGGCATACACCACCACGTCGTGCTAATTTTTGTATTTTTAAGTGAAGACCACAAGGTTTTAAGGAAGCTCTAATTAACTGCCAGGCTCAGGTGGTGGCAAGCCACCCAGCTCAAAAAGAGCTGTTCTACTCCTTACTCCTCCTCCTACCACAATTTTAACTCTAGCAGGTTCTGAAACATCAGCTAGCAAGTAGAGAGAGGAGCAGAGTAGAGTAGAGAGAGAGCTGGAAGGTTTCAAGCAGGGGACTGACAAGGTCTCACTATGCAGATCATGGTGAAGAGTGTGGATTTCCTTCTAACTGTACTGAGATGTCATTGGAAGGTTTTAAGCAGGGGACTGACAAGGTCTCACTATGTTGGCCAAGCTGGTCTCAAACTCCTGACCTCAGGTGATCCAACTGCCTCGACTTCTCAAAGTGTTGGGATTACAGGTGTGAGCCACTGCGCCCAGACCGAATACATTTTAAAGGTCCATGGTTATCAAAAAATTAAGTTGCATCTTGATTACATCCTATGTACTGTGCTTGTTCAATGCATTGTTTAGCTAAAGTCTGAGTGAAGATTTTTGTTGGCAGAATGACCATCAAATGCAAGGGCATTGGGTGGATGCGACGTTGCTATCTCTGAGGAACTGCAGTAGAGTAAGGGGAGGGTAAAAGGGGTGAAGCCAAAGAGGTGGTGGCGGCCAGAGCAGGCAGAGGCCTGCAGATCACAGTGAAAAGTGTGGATTTTCTTCCAATTGCACTGAGATGTTATTGGAAGGTTTTAAGGAGGGGAGTGACAAGGTCTGATTTATATGCCAGGTGCTATGCTGCCAGCTGGGATTCTTTCCCCACTTTTATGGTTGGATTTTAACCTGTTGGGATGGTCCATGGAGTTTTATAGCCATCCTTTGAGGAGAGAGGCCCCAACTACTCCATTGCTCCAAAAGCCCCTACTAGTTACCCAAACTCAATAATATACTAGTTAATGAGAGTAAGCCTGATCTCCTCAGCTGGTGGGAATTGTATGAGGATAGGTGCATAAGTTACAAGCAGTCCCATGAGGGTGAAACTGGAGGAATCTAGGTCTCCTTGAGGTGATGTGGCATCAATTTTTCTCCATGCTGAGTAATGCCTATCAGATCCAATCAAAGCCTCTCTTTGGGGAGGCTTAATGTGGGCTGAACAATGACTGGGCAGCTTGCTTGACCAGAGATCCTGAGGTCACCAGATACATATCCCTGGGCTTTGGACAACTGGGACCAGATACACCTTGGGCTACTTTCCTGCAGAAGCACAGTGTTTCTTGAGTGACCCACATCACACCTGAGGGCTCTCTGCTCTCTGAGGCTGGGAGTGGATTGCAGAAGGATTGGGCCCAATTCTTCCATTGTTATGAATTTCTCTTTGCAGGTGTGGTGGAGTGTCTTATTTTCTCAAGGTCCCATTGGGATCCAAATTCCCATTTCAATTGGAAGCCCAGCCCCATTGCCATCTCATCTCCTGTTCCTGCCCTCTTTCTCTGCTTAACATTGCTGAAACATGAAGTTCAGTGCCTTTTCCAGAATTTCTCCATTTCTCAGAAAGCACCTCCACTCGCAAGGTATGGTGAATGTAGCGTATTTTGTTAAGAGTGTGGGGTTGGTAGATGAAGTCTGTAGGATCGTCGCTTGGCTCCATGCATATCCCAACTTCTACTATCTCAAGTCTCCTTGCCTGGGAACTACCCCTTCTCTAAATCTAGTTCTCCTCTCCCACTTTATCATGCACAAAATGTAACTGCACCCTCTACTTGGCTTCCCTTTATTACCTAGGGCTCATTAGTGTCTCTACTACCACCGACTCTAGTGGAAAAGAACAGCATGGAGCTTTATTATTCTGTCATCTTTTAGATGTTCAAAGTGGCTGGATTTAGTTTGGTTTTAAGCTATATTGCCTCCTTTCATTATAATAACAACTTTTTCTTTCTTCTTTCTTTCTTTTTCTTTCTCTCTCTTTCCTCCTTCCTTCTTTCATTTCTTCCTCCCTCCCTCCCTCCCTCCCTCCCTCCCTCCCTCCCTCCCTCCTTCCTTCCTTCCTTCCTTCCTTCCTTCCTTCCTTCCTTCCTTCCCCAACACTTTGGGAAGCCTAGGTGGGAGGCGCAGTTGAACCCATGAGTTCAAGACCCTTGGGCAACATGGCAAAATTCCATCTCTACTAAAAATACAAAAAATTAGCCAGGCCATGGTGGTGCATGCCTGTGGTCCCCACTACTCAGTAGGCTGACTCATGCCTTGAGCTGGGAGACTGAGGTTGCAGTGAGCCAAGATCACTCGACTACACTCTAACCTGGGCAACAAGAGTGAAACTCCATCTCAAAAAAAGAAAAAAAATGTTGTATTTGCTAGCCGCAGTGTCTCAACCTGTAATGCCAACACTTTGGGAAGCCATGGTGGTGAATCACTTGAGCTCAGGAGTTCGAGACCTGCCTGAGTACTGTGGTGAAACCCCATCTCTACCAAATATATAAAAAATTAGCCAGGCATGGTGGTGCCCGCCTGTGGTCCCAGCTACTTGGGAGGCTGAGGCAGGAGGCGGAGGTTGCAGTGAGCAGAGATGGCACCACTGCACTACAGCCTGAGCGACACAGTGAGACCCTACCTGTAAAATAAATAAATAGGAGGCTGTCTAAAATTTTTTAAGTTCTGTTGTTCAATCCTTGTCTCCTGAACATTAAATTAAGAAATAAAGTCATATTGTACTTTTTCTGTGGTTGTCAGTGAGAGGCTGGGTGTGAAGTGACTCAACAGGACATCCTAAGCTGCAGTTCCCAATGGGATAGCGACGGTGCCTTGAGGGAGGGGTTGCGGTGTTTACATTTCTGCCAGTTGGGGGAATCTGCTCTCAGCCCTGACACCAGCCAGGAAGCTTCCCTCCCTACCAAAGGGAGTAGAATCAAAGAACATCCTCATCCCAGAATGGCAGTCCCAGGAGAATTCCCAAGGAGAAGGCAGAAAAGCTGAGCAGGAAACAGAGAGGGACAGGAAGCTACAGGGCGACCTCCTCAGACAGAGGGCCCCACTCCTCTCCCATCCCCTCCCCACCCATCTGGGCTGACCTCGCCCCATCTCAGCATGAAGCTCCAACAGCCCCGACCACCCCTGCTTCCCGCGGCCCACTCTCCACACTGCAGCCAGAGCGGTCTCTCCACCCATGAGTGTCTAGTGCCTCCCTCTTCAACCTTCCAGATGCTCTTCTCCCCATCGTTGCGGATGAAACCAGGCAGGGCCTGACAGGGCCAGCTGCATGGGCCTGTGACCTGTGCAGTCACAGAGGGCCCCGGCGCTAAGGGCCTCACCCTTGGTTTAATGCTCTGCTGTAACTGCCTG